GGTCACGCGGTCCCTCACCACGCGCAGCTGCTGCCGGTGCCGCCGTCGCGCGGCTGCCACGTCGCCTTCGCCCCGGGCTTCGCCCTCCTGCACCGCTACTTCCAGGAGGTCGGCATCAGCACGGATGTCATTGGCGTTCCTGAGAAGCATGCGCAGCTCCTCGATGGCGTCATGCGCGATGGACACGGTCCCAGACGCCGTCCACAGCGTGAATGGCACGCGGACGCCTGGGTCAATGGACACAACACCGCCACGTCTCTCGCGCAGGAGAGCGTTGCGCTCCTTCATGCGCAGAAGTCGCCGCCGCTTTCGCAGCCGCCGCCGCCAGTCCAGGTGCGCCGCATGTCGCTCTCGTGCTGCCTGAAACTCTGCCTCTGCTTCCTGTGTCTGCTTGTCTATCGCCTTGGCCCGTCTCAGCCTCACCCACCGCCTGCGCGCCTCCCTCGCCTCCGCTTGCAACCGCCGTGCCACCTCGCCCATCTTCCGCTCCCTCACACGTGCCTTCTCCTCCAACGCCTGCATGGCCATGTCCCCGCCGCCATGTTCCTCGCACTTTGCACGTGCCTCTTCCTCCTCCTCCACCTCTTGCAGGCCGTCGTCGCACCCTGCCAGCACAGGTCTCTCAACCTGGAGCAAGCTTTGCCCGAGCGTTCCCACGTCATCAGGTGCTCCTCGGGTGAAGTTGGAGGCCACACATATGTGGTACCTCCCCGACGCATCCAATGTGAACCTTGCCTGACCGCGAAAGTCTTTCGCAGCGGGTAGCGGCTCTGCTACACGGAGCTTGTCCACGCACATCACCGCAAACATGCCCCTCGTTTGCTTGAGATTCACGGCATCCACGGGGATGGTGTTGCGCGCTGCCTGCCTACTCATGTGGAACTTGAATGTGTCGTTCTCCTCCTGCCGCTGCTGTTGTGTCTTCAGGGCCGCGTGCTCCTCTGCGAGCGCCCTCCTGCTTGGCCGCGTGCTCCTCTGCGAGCGCCTCCTGCTTGGCCGCGTGCTCCCTCTGCGAGCGCCTCCTGCTTGGCTGCGTGCTCCTCTGCGAGCGCCTCCTGCTTGGCCGCGTGCTCCTCTGCGAGCGCCTCCTGCTTGGCCGCGTGCTCCTCTGCGAGCGCCTCCTGCTTGGCCGCGTGCTCCTCTGCGAGCGCCTCCTGCTTGGTCGCGTGCTCCTCTGCGAGCGCCTCCTGCTTGGCTGCGTGCTCCTCTGCGAGCGCCTCCTGCTTGGCCGCGTGCTCCTCTGCGAGCGCCTCCTTCCGGCTCTTGGCAGCCCTTCTGCAGGCCTGAAACTCCTGTAGCTCATTCAGAAGCATTGTTTTCAGGGCCTGCAGCGCGTGCAGGAAGTGGCGGTGCTTCGTGTCAGCCACCACCTGCTTGTCCTTCAGGCTGCGCACGGCCCTGTCATGCTCCACTGGATCGAGGAGGTCGTCCACCACCTCCTGTACCTCGTCTCGCTCGCGCACCGCTGCCTGTAACTCATCATTCAACTTGCGCAGCTGTAGCAACGACGCCCTGGCCTTTGCGAGGTCTGGCAGTGGTGGTAGTGGTGGCAGTGGTGGCAGTGGTGGTGAGCTTTGTGTCTGCCCCGACTGGGGTGCCTTTTGCTTCTGTGTCTGCTTATGCTTCTGCTTCTGCTTCTGCTGTTGTGGCTGTGGTTTGCTCTGTGACGTCTGGCGACAGCTGCGCTTGTCATGGCCCGATTGGCGACACACAGTGCACCTGCGCGGCTTGCTCTTTGCCTTCTTTGTCGCAGGGCCAGGGGCATCGTCACTTGGCGCGTCGTCGTCCTGGTGGTCGCCATCCAATTCGTCATCGCCAAGGTCACCGGCGCCATCGACCTGCGGCAGCTGCAAGGGCGGAAGCATCTTTGCTTTCTTCGACGGCTGCTGCTGGTGTTGTGTGCAGGCTGTGGTTGAGCCCGTTGGACTGGTATCCTGGCCGCAATCGCCCGAGCACGCCTTGTCGTCCCCCTGGCTTTGCAACCGCAGCAGCAACAACACTGCGGGAGATACCGGTGAGGAGCCCGGTCTCTTGCTTTGCTTCTTGGGTGGTGGTTGCTTTGACGCTGCGTGTGCCTGGCGATGCGCTGACGCCGCAGGCTGGCGCGTGCTTGGCTTCTTGGATGGTGGCGGTGGTGGTGGTTGCTTTGGCACTGCGTGTGCCTGTCGATGCGCTGACGACGCAGGCTGGTGCGTGCTTGGCTTCTTGGATGGTGGTGGTGGTGGTGGTGGCTGCAGAAGTTGCTCAAACTCCTCTTTTAAGTGCTGCTGACGCTGTGCTGCCTCGTC